GACCGTTTTGTTCTAATCTTGGCGGTTTTTTTCCCTCCCCTTGTTAACGTGCTCCCTCCTACCCCTCCTCCCTTGCCCTTTTTCCTTTGGTCGCTGTTGTTACCGAGCAGTAAGCTTGAAGTTTTAAAATAACTCTTCCTGGGAGGAGGGTGGGGGAAGCCAATGGATTGCATTTCGCATTGTTGGCGCCCTTCCCAACAAGAGGAGGAGGTTTGGCAGGCAAAACGGTGTGTGTGTGTGTGTGTATGTGCGTGTGTCCCATGTTGTCTGAGCAAAGATAAGGGCAGAGAAATCTGTTTACCCGCTGAAGTTGTTTGTTTCCTTTTTCCTCCCCCACGTTTTCCCTGGGAAAAGCTTGTTGTGACCATGGCCTGTCCTCTTCCACCTGACGTGCTCCAAGGAAGGAGGATCGGGAATTTACTTCGGCTGTGTGTGCTGCTCTCTTCAGCTCAGCCAAAGCAATTTTATACCTGTTGGGCTTGTCTGGACATGACTTTGAAAAATAGAGAATCTCAGATATGAAAAATAGAGCTTTTACTACTATAGGAAAATAAGCCGTGTTAAAGGTGTCATTGGCTCAGATGAGAGCACTCGCTCCTCTGCAGAGAAAGGTGCAGCTCCAGCACTCGGGAAAGGATTTTGAAACTGTGTTACAATAATGCATAAGGTCTTACACAAAAAAAAAGGAAAAGATTCATCATTAGAGAGGCTGCTCTTGGAGTTACATCCTTCGTGCACCTCTGTTGATTTTCTGCCTGAAGATTCAGGATTTAGAGTACTTCTTACCAAGAAAAAATCAGCTGCCGCCCTAGACCACCATCTTGCAGTCAAGCCCTCACAAATCAGCCTTTATGCCAGGGTTTATGGACCAGGGTTTGGAGCAATAGATTTTAATACCCGAGACTGTGTAAGAGGGCTGCCCAAGCACTACTGCCCTTGCATATGACTATATGCCCTTCCCAGTCTTTAACTCATCCGTTAATTAGTAAACATGTAACTTTAACCATATATGTGAGACTGAAGACTATCATACACATGCTAACTCACATTAAACTTTATATGTTTTTGCCTTTTATTCTGTTAAATGAAAATAGAATTGCAGATACTGTAAATACGCTGAAAGCTCACTAATACCAAGCTACTGGAAAATGCTATGTCCATATATTTCAGGGCTTCAGAGTAGATGCCCCAATCTTAGCTTGCCAAATCCACAAAACGCAGCCAAAGATAAAAGGTGCTCCATCAAAGGACAGATTTCAGCTCTATTTGACTAGCAGCTTACTTGTAACAAGTAAAAACAGGGTATCTGCCCTTCATCTAGTGAATGGGATCTTGTAAATCTTGATATTTATTTCCAATTTCTTCGAACATGACCTTCTTTCTAACTTTCAAAAATAAAAGCTGAAAAGAAGTACATCAGAACAAAAAGTTATTTTCAGTCTAAAGCAATGGGTTGTTACTTCATATCTCAAAAATGCAAACCTACAATGTACTAACTCATGAGCTCAAAGTTCTCTGTGTTTTGGATCTGCACATTGCTTTCTTTGTAGCCTTTTACTGCCTTGTCTTAATCTGGGAAACAGGAAAAATATCTAGATCCTTTTTCATCACATGCTGCATGTCACTCCAAGTACCTGAAACTCCAAAGAGTCATAGAATCATAGAATAGTTTGGGTTGGAAGGGACCTTTAAAGGTCATCTAATCCAACCCCCCTGCCCTGGGCAGGGACATCTTCAACTAGATCAGGTTGCTCAGAGCCCCGTCCAACCTGACCTGGAATGTTTCCAGGGATGGGGCATCCACCACCTCTCTGGGCAACC